AATCTAATATGGTCATTCTAGGATAAGGCATCTGCTCAAGAAGCCCACTATAATGTAACTATGAAAGATCTTTCTCAAAAGTACAACACATCCGTCAGTCAGGTGAGTGTGATTTTCGATGCGCCTAAAACTGATGTTTCCATTTTGATTTTATTTTAGCTAACCAAGAAAGCAGATATAGCTGAAAAGGAGAAGAATGATGCGGTCATCAAATATGCAACGCGGGAGGCAGAAATGATGCGAATGCGGGCGGAAGTGCAGAAAAAAGAACAGGAGCTGCAAGAATGCAGGAAAGTTAAGGAGGAGTTGGAACAGTGTCAAAGTCAGGAAAATGTAGAGCAACTGGTATGGATTTAGTCGAATGAAGCTTCAAATGAACATGTAGAATTTGTAGTTGTTTAGGAAAAGTCTAATAACACTTTACGGGTTGAGGTTGAACATATCAAGCATGAAAAGTTTGACTTGGAGAATAGACTGAAGATCGCTGAGAAACGGGCTGAGGTTAGTCCCATTTTTTTTTTCGTTTTTCATCTGCTCTCCTTATAGATTAGATTCTTTTTTTTAAATAAATAAATGCAGTGTTACTTTTTTAAATATAAGGCTAACTTCTCCTAACATAGCTCATTCAGTTGTTTTTTACAGTGCAATCTTTGGATCTCTCCGCACAAAATGTCAGGCATTTTGATTATGGCCAGAGCGACTCATTGATTACGTTGACCATTATTATCAAATCCAATAGATAAATCGCAGACATTTGCGCGGGAAAAAAACGTATAAGGGTGGTGCTGTGGTGCTTCATTCTTGAATTTGTTGTCATTACGGACTCTCCTTTCCTCTACTTTTCATAATGTTTGATAGATTTCTAGCCTGTTTGCTTAGTTCGTGTAGTGATTGAAGCACTTCGTGCACCTTTCATAGGGTATTTATTCGTGGGGAAGCATGAGATTCTCCAAACTTCAGCCCTGTGTTCAATGAAGGAAATAGCCTATGTATAAGCATCAAAAAA